AATCAGCTAGTAGAGGCCTATGATGTTTTGGTGGAGATGATGGAGGAGGGGATCGTTCCGACTAGGGGAACAATGAATGCCGCGTTGTGCTTCTTTTGTAAGGCAGGGATGGTTGACGTTGCGCTTGAGCTCTATCGTTCAAGGAGAGAGCTTGGTATCTCGCCGAGCAAGTGGGTTTATAATCATTTGATGACTGCTCTTTGCAGGAATGGATCGGTCGAGGAGGTGTGTCAAGTTTTGGAGGAGTCATTGCAGGAGGGCTATTTCCCTGGGAAGCAGGCTTTTAGTATTCTCGCCAATATGCTTTGTAGAGAGCAGAAGCTTAACAAGCTTCATGAATTGCTCGAGGGTGCACGAGAGAGGGCGGTGAAGCCAACTACAGCAGTTTTGGCCCGATGTATAACGACTCTCTGCAAGCAAGGAGAGTTGGAGAAGGCTTGGTCCATTCGGCATATCTTCGGTGGAGGAGATGTTGAATTGTCTAGGTATAGTTTTGTTTACACTGGTTTGATTCGAGCATTCATTTCATTAGGGAAGGTAGATGTGCTTCCTGAGCTAATAATTCAGATGCAAGAGTCTGGGCATACCCCGACCAGGAATCTGTATCTAGCTGTTGTTGGTAGCTTATGTGAGATGGGAAAGTTTGAGGAGGTTCTGGGTCTTCTAAACAAGCAGTTAGAACTGCTGAACAAGAAATCGGATATCAAAGAGTCAGATATGAGGACCTTTTACAATTACTTTATTGATGGGGCTGCTCACGTCAAAAGGCTTGAAATGGCTATGGAAGTTTTTAGCCGGATGGAGAGGTCGGGTGTCAAGGCAACTCTGGATACTAAGATTATCTTGCTTCGGGGATATCTAAAGAGCGGGAGGATAAGCAATGCTATGGACTTCTTTTCCCATATAGGTCGGGAAAGAGAGCCCAACACGAAGCTGTACAATATTTTCATTGCAGGTCTTTGTGAAGCAGAACATGTTGAGATAGCATTAGAATCCTGGAAGGAGATGAAGGGCAAGGGAATGGTCCCAAGCCTTCAGTGCTATGAGGAACTTGTGCTCGCCTTGTGCTCTGCGAGGGACTATGATACCGTTATAAAAGTTCTTGAAGATTTTTGGGAGACGGGTCGGCCCATTTCTGCATTTATCTGTAATGTGCTCTTGCTTCACACTTTAAAGGGTAAAGAACTTCTGAGGGCTTGGGTCGACTACAAGAAGGCAGAAGGAAGCAGAGGAGGAATAGCAGGATTGAGATTATCGCTTGGTGAGATTATTGTAGCATTTTCAGGAGGGATTAGGATGAAGGGCGATTTGAACAATGTAGAAGAAGATATTGAAAAATCTTTTCCGGTTGATATTTACACATACAACATGTTGTTGAGGGGTTTGAGTATGGCAGGGCGGATGGACTGTGCATGCAACTTGTTTTCTAGGATCCAGAAGAAGGGTTATCAACCGAACCTTTGGACTTATGACATTATGGTACATGGTTTTTGCAAACAGAGAAACAGAAAGGAGGCTGAGAGCTGGATCAGTGAAATGTATCGAAATGGCTACTTACCAACGATGTACACAATGAAGAAATTTAACAATACAGGTTAGCTTGTGATGCTGGTTACTCTTGGACAAATGATGCTCAAAGTCATGATTCCTACAAAACTTTGTCTTCCAGCATCTCATGTTGCCTCAGCTGAGTCAGGTACTGTCAACTGCAAACCAATTAAGTTGCTTACCTTGCTATTAGATATTTATTTGTTCGACCATAAGCAAAAACAATAGTTGGTGTTAATTTTTTTCGTATGATTAATTTTTTAACCACAAACACAGATTTATATCTTCGCCATCTGGATGTATATAACTTCTCTTTCTTATCCCCTCATCTGTTTGACTATTGTGTGTGGCATAAGCTGCTCATGGTAGCTCGTTTATTCTTAAGCTTGATGTTATTACCAGTTCTTTAAAAAAAAAGGGATTCACAGTTTAAGGAGTGTTTCATTCTTCAAAGAACCTGTTCTCACTGTTTCTTATGTTTTTGTTCTCTCTCTTTATGTTCCCTTTCATTCTAGAATTTTGGATATCCTCAATTGTGTTTCTGTCTAATGCCTCATATACCCTTCAAATCAGCCCCTGTTCAACCTTATTGATCTATGAAAACATATATTATATTATTGGACAGTTTAAATCTAGAACACATATTTTGAGCTTGATTCAAACTAGCTAATGTTCGCCAAGTATAGATCTCCCCAAGTACAAGCCTTTGTAGGCACAAAATAAATAAAAGAAAATAAAATAAAAAAGCAGCAGACCTTAAAATTCTCATGTGTAAGAAATAATCGAGCACAAGCCCTTACAAACAGCCCTTATAATTTCCAAATATATCCCTCTATAGTCTCAAAAATTACTCAAAAGAGGGGAGCAACAGTTAGATGTCATATTAACATAGCAACATTTAGATTCCCAAGTATATTCGTCTATAGTCTCGAAAATAACTCAAAGTAGACCTTCTGAAAGATCTTCACATAATTTTCTAATTGTTATTTAATAAATATATCTTCCTTTCTTGCTGTTATCTGGGTGAATCTTTTATAAATGGTATGTACCGGTGAGTTGGAAGGCTATCCTTACATCTTTGTTTTGAAGCGAGGCTTGTCGTATGGGCATTTTATCAACATATGTTCATGATGCGATGAAGAGGGAAATATCTTAGAGATGGAGATCCAAAGAGATAGAACATTTCCTTCTTATCAGAGTATTGTATTGAACATCTTGACATCTTTAAATGGTTCTTCGCCGAGAAAGAGTCTCAGCTTTTCTATGTTAGTTGCTACTAGTTAGTATTAATATTTGGTTGATTGATTTGCCTCGTGTGATTTAGGGGCCATATGGTTCATGTAAACATTTGTATTTGCAATACTAACTTGGAAAGCTGATGTCAAGTGGTCATCATTTTCACTTTAACATTTTTCTTTGTTTGGTTTGAATTCCACGTGGAATCATAAAGTGTTTGTTTGGTTTGCATAATGTAACTTTGGAAAGTGGTTGCTATGTGGTCCTCACTCAAAAGGATCATATTGCTAACGCTGTCATATGTGAGGTTACCTCTCTAAAAAGACGAAAAACCAAATAACAAATTGTTATGATCAACATATTCTATTAAGAAGTTATTTAATCCAATTTTCAAAATCCATAATGTTTAACAATATTTCACAATCACATAGCTAGTATGAAATTTGATGGCTTCACCTAAGATAGTGCAACCACAATGTTCATCACAACCACAATATTTTCACTATTACTAGATAAAAATAAACATAATATGATGAACATATAATGGATTTCGTTGCACCATAAAAGATAAACAAACATTTGCATCTTGGTAGAAACCTTAGTTAATTCCCAAATACAACGACCAGAGATGTCACTACCACTTGACATCGAAGTTTTACTCCAAAAAGACATTTTAAGATAGTGCATGCATGTCTCAAACTACATAGCACATAAAGTTCCCATGACAAAATACTACAACGTATTAAATAATCCAACCCACAATAAAAGCAAGAAAAATAAATCAAAGCCTACAGTAAAGTCCGAAATCTCCAAATCATTCAACAAAAGGTGTTATCTTCTATCCATAAGCTCATCCCTAGTTTGAAACCTTGTTAATATCATCCCCAAATATTACCGTCCAAGCTATACTCTAAGACCTGGTTATTTATCCAAGCCACTTGAGATTCCAATGGCTTCATCGTGAATAGCGTAGCTTGCTTCTCATAATCATATAGATGATCGAGTACATGATCAAATACATGTTGCATGATTTGACAAAGAGAATACATGCTCTCGGTCAATTTTGCACTATAACATTGATTTCCCTCTTTAATTGCTCATGTGATTCGCTACTTTATCAAGAAAATTTGTCATATTTGAAATATACATTGTATCTATTATGTACAAATACAGCAACTGTAACCGTGAGCAGATACAACAGCAGTTGTATCTGTTCAGCAGAGAAGATACAGCTGATGTTGTATCTGTTCTGTACAGATACAGGCGTTGCTATATCTATCAACAAATACAATTGCTTCTGTATTTGTTCACAGTCACAGATATAGTAGTTGTATCTGCTGCAAATACAATTGTTGTATCTATGAATAGATATAACAGAATAAATACAACATCTGTATCTGTTCACAGATATAGTAGCAGTTGTATCTGTCTAGATCAGATACAACAACTGTGTCTAATATCATTTCTTAATATTTTAAATTAATTTTAAATATGGAAAAGTAAGACATTATTACCCTTGCCTATGTGCTATAAACACGTATATCAAGTTTTATTGTTTTTTGTTTCTTCATTCCAACCGGAGCCATTGATTTCATGACATTTTCGCATGTCTAGGTAATGATTTCGGAGAGTTATTTAGCGGTTGCTCACATTGTGCTTAGTAAATGACTAACTAAATTTGTGACTTTATACTTTAGCCGCATTATTGAATGCCCTACTCCACATAACCTTGTCATGTTTTCTACCATTCCTAGCTCATTAGCCAATAAATGAATGAGGAAATCATAAGCTCCTCATCCAATTTGATGTTCCCAGCTTTCTCCCCTTTCATGTTTTAATTAAGCTATTTTGAAGGGGACGAAAACTTCCTCATCTTGTTCACGAGTCGCCATCTTAGATCCACCACTAGCTTCAGATGAGGGAGTTTTAAATAATAATGATCTTGACATTTTGCTTTTGGGTGAACTTTGTGGTCTCCTTTGTGGCATTGGTGTTTCGTTTAAAAATTGCATCGGTCCAGGAGCATTAGTAGGAGGCATCATATTTGATATAGGAGTTTGGAAAGAACCATATCCAGACATAGGTGTTTTGGAAAAAATTAAATTCAAATGGAATTTAGGACATTCTTCCTGTAGGTCTATTTTCATGTAGTGCAGTATTTGAATTTCTACTCTCTTGATTATCTGTAGTTTGAGAATAAAATCCAGGACTAAATGAACTGTGTTGATTATTTGTACTTGCTTGAAAAAATATTGTTAAAAGAAAAAAAATTGTCACAATATGCTCAATCATCAAATCTCACAAATAGCAAAAATGCATCCATCTCTCTGATATATGCTAAGAAATATCATTACACACAAGTGAGCATACATGTTCAAATCCTACAAAACACAGCTAAAGTTTAAAATCTACAAATAGCAACATTGCATACCACATTGCACACATGTTCAAATCCTACAAATCAATAACAAAAGTTTAAATTCCACATATAGCAACCTAACATAGCATGTTGTAAACATTGCATATAAATGTCAAAAAAGAGTCTCATACATAACTCCTTGACTATGTCAATGACAATATTCAACCTACATTTCATATGCAATTTGATCTCTGCATGACTTCCACTCTTCTAGTGTATCGAGTTGTTCTCGTTGAGTCATTTGTTGTGTGAAATCAACTATGGATGCATCTTTATTTAGGATATCTCCATCCTCATGTACATGTATAACCTTGTTCAAGAACTAATTGTTCGGATCGACAATAGCAATATATATAATTATATAAAATGGTACATGCAATTACAATGTTTACTTGACTTGGGAAACGATGATGAGGTTTAGCAGACAGAATCTTGAATCGATTCTTCAAGATTCCAAATATGCACTCTATCTTACTACAAAGTGATGAATTGCAAAGATTGAATAACTCTCTTAGGAATTCTTTAAGTTTATATTTTCAAGTGATACTGTACACCCCGATAAGAAGCATCCTATTATGGTTGGGTACCAGGCATCACATAAATAGTATTACCATGCAATATAGATTATTAAGTGCATTATTACGTTATATATCCTACTAGTATATTAACTAATTTATTATTTCAATCGAAGTTTTGTTTATGCTTTACCCTCGAAGATTCTTAAGCTATTTGGAGGGGCTAATGATAGTGCATTCTTAAGAATTGTGAAATTATTTGCAGCTCCCTCGCAACCAGTCATGACATGTGAATCCTTTGTTTGGTGTTACTGCAGCCAAAATATTTTGTATGATCCCTTTGCATCATCTAAATCTAGGAGCATCTTTAGTTGACATTGGTGCATCTACATTTGTTCCATCTATTAGAACAACATAATCCTAAATAAAAGACATCATTCGAGATCCTAATTAGTAATATCTTCATAGAATAGCTACAAGTGTTTTTGGAATTAATATAGTTAACTTACCCTGAAAAATTGAAACCATTGACTGGATTCTGTAATTTTTGCTAGAGTTTCATTTGGGGCTTGTTTTATGAACCTATTTCGAAGAGGAAAATAGCTCCTAGACCTTTATTAAAATATCTGTTAATTGGTTGCCTGGAACGTATAAAGTCAAGTATGTAGGTCCTACTTTTGGACTTGTGTCCCATTATATATAGATGAATGTTGTTAATTGTTCTTCTATAGGAACAAGGATCTTGTCCTTCAACAAGCTCCTATCTCTCATCATTGGAGCTAAGTTCATAAATGGTCTAATATGCATCTTGAGATAGTCTTAACAACTTGATGTACTAGCATCCAATATACGTCGCATGTGTGAATGTCGGTCTTAAGTCTCGTACATGTAAAGGATGATGAGGGATGTTACGTCTTCTAAGTGGTCGATATTGATATTGGCATATGAATACCATTATCATGACTTGTACAGTAATAA